GATCTTACGCCACTTGCTAAGCGTCTTGTCGTCACGGAGGGTGTCGATTGTCGGGAGGCATCGTTTGAGAAGGCACGGACTCTGCTGGACGAAATCCTATCTGCGTTGACTGCACGGAGCCCTCGAGGAGATGCCGGGCCCAGCCCGGAGGAGATCCTTGAGGGTGCTGCGGCCGGATCAGGAATCAATGGCATCACTGGTCATGAAGAGCAACGACTGCGTATCGCAGAAAAGCTTCTTATGAAGAAAGACGGCAATGATAACGAACTTTTCGAAGCGCTGGCGGAGCAACCTGATCCGGATGAGACCGTTTCACAGATGTTCTTTGATGCCGCATGGCGAAGGGCTTGGGCCGTTGATTTTAGGGAGATCGTGTTTGGTCCGAGAATTGGTGCTGGAGGATTTGGAGAGGTGTACAAATGTAAGTACGAGGAGAAGATGGTGGCGGTGAAGACTTTGCAAAAGGTGGAAGACGACGATCCGAATGCGCTTATGGCCGAATTTATGGTAGAAATGAAGCTGATGTCAAAGCTCCGACACTCCAACATTGTACAGTTCAAGGGAGCATGTATTCACGTTCCAAACTTGGCAATCATCTTGGAGTTTATGCCCGGGGGCAGTCTGTACCGCGCCATTCATCGCAGACGTAGAAATGTTCTTGGAGCGTTTCCACTTCTCAAGATTGTGTGGATCGCATTTGGCGTAGCAAAGGGAATGGCGTTCTTGCACGGCCAGTATCCTGTTGTCATCCATCGCGATGTGAAGTCACCAAATATTTTGCTAGGGACAAACGTTCGGGAAGTCAAAATCACGGACTTTGGGCTGAGCAGACTACGAGTCAACTCGTACGTTAACACGGGCCCAGGAGGTACTCCTGAATGGATGGCACCTGAACTTTTGAGACAAGACGCCTTCAACGAGAAATCAGACGTGTTTTCGTTTGGCGTAATTCTTTGGGAACTGGTCATGTGTGAGAAGCCATGGCGTGATGAGCACCCCATGCAAATTGTATACAAGGTTGGTAATCGGGGTCTCAAACTTCCGACACCACCGCCAGAACAATGTGGCCCTGAGCTTAGACAGATGATTGTGGAGTGCTTTGCAGACGATCCGAGCCGACGACCAGAGTTCACAGATATTGCTGCAAGATTAGAAGACATGTGCAAGCAATTTGATACCTAGAGTGGATATTGGACGAAACACGAAGCAGTTGAAGCACCTGTATGTCGTGTGCTATGTTGTGCAAATAATCATTTGACTGCGTGGATTACTCGGCTATGTATTGACACCCCAAACTGGAGCATTTGGGAGGAAATTCAAAAGCATAGTGTCGTCTAGTCGGATAGAGAGTTGCAGCAAAACTATTTTGGTAAAGAATTGCGGCAACTGATGCACGGATCCTACAACGGCCGCTCCTGGTAATGTTAGTACTCTAACATGAAGTAGGGAGGGAGTTTGGGACGTGCTCGACAACATTTTGGTCAGGCAGGCGCGGCAGTTTGAAAAAGGGTTTTCTCGATGTACAGCCCGCGGATGACGTCCGCCACCCTTGTCTGCTACAGCAGACCGGCGCGGCAAAGACGGACGGGCCTTCTCTTTCCATCTTGGAAGAAGAGAAAAGGAAGAACAGGGTGGGCCATGTCGTTGGTGGGGGAGGTACATGTTATGTATGTACTTCGAGTTGGGAATAAATAGCGTCATAGCGTACGATACTGTTATTTTCTTGACATGCGTTGTTGCATTGAGAGCAGCTGTAAACCCCCTGGTTCTCATTCTGGCATTTCACAGCGACCTTACCGCATTCGAAAGTCGTTGACATCAATAATGCATTACGATCCCGAGTGTCCGATGGCAGAGAGATCGAAGGGTGTGGAATTGTTGAACAAACTCTTATCAGCCGTGGCGCCGCTCGATTTGAAAACTGGTGTCAGACGGAGCCTCTAGAGTTGTTCTTCGGACCGTAGTCCTCATATGAGGACAAAAGTTTTTTTATTTTTGGTAGACAACGCAACAAGCGATTTACCTACCTTTTTTTTGCAACTAGAAGTCCATCACAACAGTTGAAGCATCTGCTGGTCATTTCTAGCTAAACCACTTGTTGACGCACATACAGGTGTTAAAAAGAGGGAAAAGGGGGCTTACAGTAAACATTTTTCTTTAAGCTGTCAGATTTTGTACCAGTAGCATAGAAACATTCCGTACGTTCCGTAGAGAGCTTTCTATTCGGTTCCAACTTTAGAGAAAATTTTTAAAACGAGCCAACCTTCCAAAGAAAAATAGAAACCGCAGACACCAAAGTTGAAATGAAAGGAAATAAAATTCGCAGATTCGATTGATATGATTGATATGTTATGATAACGGCAGGTCGGATAGACACACTCGACATAAACTTTAGAGGAAAACAAGGCGCCTCGATTCAAAAAATCGACATCAAAAAAAACAGTCGTTATCACACGGACTGGAAAGAATCTCGTCCTCTACACACAAGGCAACATGTTTACGTGAAACACTTTACGTGAAACACCTAGGCGCTCCGAAGTAAAAAAAGCAGAGCATCCGAGCGTGAAATAGGGGTGTGAACCCCAAGTGGCAACCCCTCGAACAATAAAGAAACAAGCCTGAATATAGAAGGCGAGAGTATCTCGCCATGCACCGCAGACCTTCGACACGGCCGACTGACAGAAGCAGGCGGTTCATATTCGTAAAGCATACGTGCGAAGCAAGCTGGACGGGAGCAAAAAGCATAAGATACTGTAGTCTACACCAACTCGCGACCGCCCTCGGCGGGGGCGAAAACGTGAATAAGATTGGTAAATGGATCACCAGTGTGGGACCCAGTGGGACACGGCGGGCACTGCGTGGATGTAGGCCTGGGTCGGGATGGCATGTACGGGTTCCATCCTGGGCATGACGACGCGAGGGACGACGGAGTCGTCCGCGGGGGCGATGGCAGCGTAGGAGCGCTTCTTGCCAACGGTCGAGATGGGGGATTGTTGGGCGGCCATGGCAGCGGCAGCCGCGGCGGCGGCTGCGGCCTCCTCAGCCGCGACGCGCTTGCGGTCGACAATAGCGTCGTCGACGCGGAACCAGTCATTAATGGTTTCCTTTGCGTTGTCAAGACCGGCTAGCACGCCCTCGATGGTGTCCTTGACATACCTAAACTCTTCAGCCTCAACCGAGATCCTCCAGTCCAGGACCTTGAGAAAGGTGACCTGCTCCGAGCCGAACCTAAAGTTGGGTCCAAGCAGCTCGCGCAAGTCCATAGCAGTCCTGCCCGGAAACTCCTCTGTGAGCAGGACGGCCATATAGCAAGCGACAGCGACAACGCACTCCCAGCGCTGCGGGCGAGCCCAGTCGCCGCGGCCGACAAACTTGCCTCCCTGCCTGACGTACCTCCTGAGGAAGCAAAGGACGAGGACCTGCTCGTCGGCGTTGAGCTCGAGGTACTCGCAGAGCAGGCAGAGCCACTTCTGGACCGTGGGGCGGGGCAGGCCCGGGCCGACGTAGGCGACGACGACGTCCGCGACGGCCTCGCGGATGACGGCGCCGACGGCGGCCGCGTCGTGCGTGCGCACGGCGTGCAGCAAGCCTAGCTCGCGCGCGCCCTGCCACGGCTCGCGCTGCCGACCCGCGCGCAGCGGCGTCTCCCACCGCAGCTTGCCCGGGCACTCGGGCGCGGG